ACACACACACACACACACACACACACACACACACACACACACACACACACACACACACACACACACACACACACACACACTTGTGTGTTGTGTTTCTGTCAGTTCATTGTCTTGCATTAACATCTTGGAAGTTTACAATAACCTGAAACATAGCCGTCACCATTACCATAAACTTTAATGCGCCTTTAAATGTAACTGTTTACTTTGTGAAATCTTGCAAACACACACACACAGACTGTGTTCAAGGCTCATTAGAAATTTTCAGTCATATTAAACGATAATTAAGACAGACAGATTGCAATGAACCTGTGCTTTGTTACTCACTCACATGTAAGTGGTCTCTTGCTCTCTCTTACTCACGCACATACACATATCTGCCACATGGGCACATTTTCATACAGGAACACAGCGCACACACACAGCTAACATGTCCCTTCGTGAGGACCTGTGCTTTGAATCACCTTTTCTCAGCTTACATCAGATGCTTTACAGTAGTTCAGTTCATGACAGAACATCCACCTTTGGTTCACCCCTCTCCAACTTCTAGTTCCTCTACCTGTGCTACTCTGGTAATTAATTTCTGTGTGTGTGTGTGTGTGTGTGTGTGTGTGTGTGTGTGTGTGTGTGTGTGTGTGTGTGTGTGTGTCTAACAAAGTATTTCATTATGTGCCGAACCCCTTATTCTCTAGTGTGTCTGGCCGAATGTCTCAGTGGTGTTTTGGTATTCAAAAGAGGGTCTTTGTCAGGTAGCTCCATCTTCTTCAAGGGCACCAGCTGCTCCACAGAAAGGCCATGAGAAATTTCTTCTTTATTGTGAAGTAGGCAGTCTCCAAGGAAAATGGAGCAGGAGACAGTCAAAGCTGGCACCTGCTTAAAAGATGACCACAATGCAAGACCAGCAACCTGTTTCTGCTTCCAGGGTCTCGATCCTCAAAGCATCTAGTTTATTGGTGATGCACACACAGTCTCCTTTGACGCTGCCAAATTGACTTCCTGGCCGCAGCACTCCTGATGGAAATAGCAACAAAATAGGGATGGTGTTGGTGTAAATCACAAGCCTGTTAACCAGTTAACCACAGTTCATGCCCCATTGGTGGGGTTGTATTTTGCACTAAAATGGACAGAAGTCTGTGAAATGCACTGCATTACACACTTTCAAACTTTCCTTATAATATATACCAGCACACCCTCCTAATTTAAGTTGCAAAATATTTCATTTGTCTCCCTGTATCACTGCCTGCTGTTTTGAAGCCTCCACTACCACAGAAGTTACCTGCACAAATATCCCCTGGGAGGGTATATTTATTCATCACTCCCCATCTTTGATATATAATAAACCTGGAGCCCAGACAGCACACCTGACCCTGTAATGAATCATTTTCAAAATGAGCAGTCTGACTTAATTAAGTTGAGGGTTAGGGATTTTATGACCTGAGAATAATAGATAAGTAGATAAATAGATATTATTAATATGTTGCATAAATCTGTTTGTTTTAAAAAAAGATTTTTCTTTAAAAAGTTAAAAATGAAACCTCATTTGATCATGCAAGAGGAAATTATTATGAATCAGGTCGGCACAGCCAGGTTTAGAATGTGACTTAGAGCTCTCCAACTGATCAATCAGTGCACTCTGATATTTAAATGACATTTTAACATGAAGTGCTACAGCTGGAATGAAAACATTGCGAAATGGCTTCAAAAATATTCTTTGTGTAGTTGTGAAGAGGCAGAGAAGTTGTTTAGAAGACGGCCTTGTTGGTTTAGCTGGCTAAATGCCATTTGACAGGTGTTTTGAATGCAATTTTTACCACACCACAAATATTCTGAATAAGCTGTATTGCTTTTCTTTGTGCTTTTCTGCTCTCCATTTTTTCTCATTGTGCTTCCACTATTGCTTCTTCTTTTTCTTTTCTTTTTCTTTTTTACATTTTCTACACATCTAATCTATTCAACACCTTCTTTCTTTTCTATTTGACCAGGTGGACTTTGCCTTCACTGTATGGCAAAGTTTTCCCGAGCGTATTGTTGGTTATCCAGCAAGGAGCCACTACTGGGATAGTTCCAGATCACGCTGGGGCTACACTTCCAAGTGGACCAATGAGTACTCCATGGTCCTTACAGGAGCAGCTTTTTACCACAGGTACAAACCCACAGGATTTCTTGCTTGTCGGTGAAGTTGTATTGACGTGAATGGCAGAAGAGTGGCACAGAAAGATGGCACATGGCATCGTCTGTGATGCAGACAGTGTGCCAGTGCATGAAGGTGACATTATCAACTTATTAGTCAGCATGCCTTCCCGCCCTCACCTGTAGCTACAAGCATTATGTCGTGATTTAATTAGTAAGATTACAGATAAAAGCGGCAGAAATAACCTCTCAGAACAGTCTCTGGGTTTTCTCTTAGATAGGGTTCGAACCTCGGCCGTTTGGGAGGAGTAGAGGCACTGCTCCTGTGGATTAAAATAAAAATGTTTCTTGAGCTTATTTAAGAGAGGCTGTAATTGTATTCTTGCTACCACTGGATAGCTGCAAGTTGTGTTAAGAAGTCTTGAATTCTACTCCCCAAAAAATCCCCCAAAATCTCAAAGATTCTAGTTTTAGAATTAGAGTTTTGGTCTTATTATAGGCCATGTATATAAAGGCTAACAACACCCTTCAGTACATGGTGAACTTATGATTGCCTCCAATCATGGTTTGTACCTAGGACATATAGGCCCTGACATGGAATAATTACATTCCTATAGGATAAATGCCCTGCAGCACAAATAGTTTCTGCAGATCTTTGGATCAAGATAAGTAAATAATTAAGTAATCTGCTTTTTTCTGCATTTCAAAATTTTAGAGCCTGCAGCCGTGAAGTGTTGATGTCATACTCCTGTTTTTGTGTTTGTTATGGTTTACATTCTAGTTCTGTATTGGTATCTCTAGAGTTCAGTCTTCCTTAGTCTCATCTCTTTGACTTTCAGCCTTCACAGTCATGTACCCATGTCTGTCTGTTTTCTCCCCAGTCCCTGTGTCAAGCCCATGTGTCTTAGTGTTGGTCACAGTGTTTGATAGTCTTCTGTTTTCATGTGTATTATGTTCAGTTTTGCTTCCCCTGTCTCGTCGGTCAGTTTAGTGTCAGCTGTGTTATCCTCCTTGTCTTATTGTCTGTGTTTTCCTCTGTTCTCTGTTGCGTTTTCCCTCATTGTAGGTGGTGGTTCTGTCTGTCTGGATGGTTTTTGCCTTTTGTTTTTGTTGCCCAATGCTTAGATGTTTAGTTCAGTTCTGTGTTGTGGTTTTTGGGTCCACAACTCTGCCGGCCTCACACCTACACCTGTGGATATGACAGAAGAACGGGACCAAATAATGGACCAAGCAGACTCAGCCCTGAAAGAATGTGGGTTGGCTCTAACACGGATGAACAGTCTTTTGATTCACATCTCCTAAGTCATGGGCATAAGGATGAAATTCGTTGGACTTAACACCACTGATGCGATTATCCAGAGGAACCCTCTGCTCCTCCAGCTTCCCCGGTCTCCGGAGATGGTCTGTGCTCTCACCGAGGCTAAAGAAGAACTGCAAAAACTGCTCTCTTCATGCTTTCCTCCTCCTGTTGTCACATCAGCAGCACATGAATACCTCCTCATCCTTCAACAGCTGACAAATTCCTACTCGACGCTGACTGGAATGATAACTGCAAAACTCTGTGGCCATTTGCTAGGGGCTCAGCCAAGCAGCGGCAGTCTCCTGCATCTGCTGGGTGCTAGGCCAAGCAGTGCCATCTAGAGCATAGAGCCTGCTGCGTACTCCCAGCCTGAGCAACCAGAGCCCACTGTGTGCAATGCGGGGCCCCAGTCCTCATCAGAAGTCTCTGCACCGTCTGGGCCCGAGGCTTCCACACCATGGCAGTATATGGCTCGCCACTGACGCTGGCCACCTGCCAAGCTGCTTTAGGGGTCTACATCTCCATTGTTCCTAGCCTCCAGTCCTGTCGCCCCAGGGTCTCCGCCCACCACACCATCGCCAGACTCCAGTCCTATTGCAGTGGGTCTCTGCCACCATCACCTCCAGACCTTCATCGTCTCCACTGCCAGCCTCAGCCACTGAGTTTTGCCCTGAGGTCTGGTTGACCCCCTGAACTGTGTTTTGTCTTTTGGAATCTTAGTCTCAGTGTTTGTACTTCCTGTTTTATTTTGATAGTCTTCTGTTTATATATATGTATTATGTTCACTGTTCTGTTCTGTGTTGCGCTCTCCCTCATCGTAGGTGGTGGTTCTGTCTGTGTTTTTTCTCATGATTGAGTCAGTTTATTTTTATGGTTATGACTGTTCAGTTGGGTTTTTTACCTTTTGTTTTTGTTGCCTGTTTTTCCAGCATTAAAGCTGTGTTTTTTAGTTCAGTTCTGTGTTGCTAAGTCCTGCGTTTTTTGGGTCCACAACTCTGCCTGCAACACACCTACACCTGCGGATATGACAGTTGACTTGTTTTTCTTCTTGTGTTGTGCTGCAAAGGACCTTCATATTTTAGAGTATATATAAAAAAAATCATATAGAGGATGCACCAAGAAAACTTGGAGATATGACTCATGATTTTCTTTTAAAGTTCACACACACACACAACTCTACCTACTTGTCTGTTCAAAGAAAAAACCTTTAAAGCTATTGCTGAGACTTGCCCCAGCATTTTTAGAGAGGTTATATTTATATCTTAAGTTTGGATGACTCATGTAATGATCGTTAAACAAAATATATGTAAAATGTTAAAAAAAAAGCATTTTTAAATATTTTTTTATTAGTCAGTATTGTCTATGCACATAGCCACTGTAAATTTAATGCTGCTATATTTTATGTTAGCAGTGATGCTAATGTATAAGCACTCATTAAAAGCAATTACGTAAAGACATAAACTGCAGTCCAGCTTCTCTTTTAGTGCTGCAGTCAGTTTGTCTCATGGTGCAGATGTTCTGCATATCATTCCACCAGCTTCCCAGAAATACTTATCCCGTCTCTAAGATGCAAACCACATTAAAATTCATCTTTAGGAAAAGGGATAATATAAGCTTTCTCCACCTCTGTTATATCATGAAACAATTGTCAAAAATGCAATGCTAGGGCTAAAATAAAAAATGGTAAACTCAAGTATTAAGCAGAGCGGTAAATTGAATGGAGAAGAGTGATGCTCTCCAAAGGGATTAAAGGCATCTTGTCATGCAGATAAACAGCTTTCTTGTTGTTCTATTGTTAGGTTGCTCAATGCACCTCTTCAGTTATTTTTGTTATTTAGACTGTCAAATGGAAATGTAAGGTAGAAAAAAATGTGCCAGAAGGAACATTGTAAAGTGTGTGTGTGTGTATGCATTTGTGTGTAAGAGCGAGGGGCGGGAGACCTTGTCAGGGAGGTAACCACTGACAGTGATCTAGTGCTCCCATGCTGCTGAGAGTGCAACACTGCAACCAAATAGAACAGAATTGTGGCTTTTAAAATGAAAAATACACCCACATCCTAATCCCTAATCTGCCCTTTTCCTTTATGCATCAGATACTATCACTACTTGTTCACTCACTACATACCGGCTAGCCTGCTGACAATGGTGGACCGCATGGCTAATTGTGAAGACATCCTGATGAACTTCCTCGTTTCGGCCGTGACCAAGCAACCTCCAATCAAAGTCACACAGAAGAAGCAGTACAAGGAAACCATGATGACCCAGGTTGGACAGAGTTTTACTTTTATCGATACACTTAGACTGTATACTTGTTCACTGTCTCCTATAGAATGTATCTGTCTCCGTCTCTGCCACAGACGGGCTCAGATTTTTACTCTGCGTATCTATAGCTGCTTTGACATTATCCTATCTTGCTTTTATGGCTACAGAGGCCAAGTCAAAAAATTACCCCTACTATGTCTGAATTTGTCCAGTGTTCTCAGAATGGCATTTTTCCTCAGTTAAAGTAGTCATCACAAGTACAATAGTGTGCAATGTTCAGTCTACAGACAGGTGTTTATTCCGCAACCTTATCATGTCCTTTCCCACAATGGTAGTCTGTAAAACCTTTGTGAAGTGTGGCATATAACTTTGCAGATGCAATACAAAAACTCTGAATCATTGTTTGGCATTCTTAAGGTTAAAGAAAGTGAGACTGAATTCTTTACTCCAGTTCTGTAATATGTACCAGCTCCTTACTAGCTGGCTCTCTCCAACTCACATTCATATCACTACTCAACCTCTTTGAGATTTCTGTTCGTGGTTAGTGGTTGCTGGGGATTCCTGGGGATTCCTGGTTGTGTTTGAAATTAATTGCTAAAGCCCCAGTCACACAGGCCTACACACATACCCCTTGCAAACATCAAAACGCGTGAGTGGTTAGTGAGTGGTTGAGAGCAGTTGCGGGCATTTCGTGTGCTACACCAAAAACCTCCTTGTGATTGCATACTGTACGGACAAATGTTTGTGCATGTTGGAGGTACATCCCAATCCCATTGTTGTGATTGTGTTGCAATCATTACAGGAAAATTTTTTTTATTACACATATTACAAAGAGCACTTCTCTTAAAATCAATGCAGCGTATTTTTATTAATCCCAGGACAAAATAATTAATTACACAAATGATTACATTACTTTTGTGTTTCTCTATAAAAAATTATCTGAGATTTAACAATATCAACACACCAACACAAATCCTTATCCTGTTGAGGAGAAACACATTTTCTTTATCTTAGTGTTTAGGTATGAACACAAAGCTGACAACACAAAATAAAGAAAATTAAATTCATGAATGAATGAAATTCATGAAAACCAGCAGCCTGACTGCGCATCCATTTGTTACCTGCTGAAGTTCAAGATCTAGTAGCTGACCTGGGGTCAGCATTCGCTCAGCTTTAACATCACTCGGTGTCCTTGCCTTGGTTAGCTTTAGCATTCTGTCTGTTCAGATACTAGCAAAGAGCCAAAGTTGTTTTAGCAGCACAATGCAGTTATTTCTGTTCAGACTTTGCGATCATATTCTCATTCTTTTCTGCTCAGAAAGCCCAAGAAGAAAGAAACAAAACAAATCCTGGTTTTCCTCACTTTTTCCGACACACGAGGTCTGAAGTACCTGGAACATTTTTACAGGTGTTTGCAGACAAGTCGGTGTATCCTATGTAAACTACAGTCAACCATAGTAACCTGCTAACAACCAGAGTAATCACAAGGACCTTTTGGTGCAGCACCCTCTTTGTGACGTATGTCAACCAGCAACAGCATGCAACCTGCAGCAACCACTCATAGACCAGTCTCCAGTCCTGTGTGATTGGGGCCCTCAACAGCCATCTGAGCCTTTCAGTTGAAAAATAACTTTGAGGCGAAAAAATGTGCAAGGGAATTTGAGTAGTGCTTTATCACATTCCATTTCAACATGGAATGAATCACTTACAAATGTTATTTGGACAATAAAAAGGGAAGAAAACTTTGTCCAAGGTTTAAAAATGCTGGAAGGAGGGTTGGTGTTCAAGAGCTAAGAAAGAAACCCCGTCATCCCACAACCTGATTAAAAAAACTAGTTATATATAGTCTAACTATCCATCATTTCTTTGTAGACATTGTATAATTAGTCACTTGTGCCTTACATAGATGTTTAAGTTTTCATGGTTACATTCAATGAATTTGCAGTTATCCAAAGCTAAAGTGCCTTCCAAGCTTCCCCCTGTTAAAGTCCCCTTTTGGGATAATTTCAGTGTTTGTTAACAAAGTCCGAAATGTATTTCATTCCCCATAAAACATTTGCAAATGCTTCTGTTTGGAGTAGTTTAGCTCTATTAGCACTGTTGCATTAATTGCATTGCATTAATGTACAAGCAGGGCATGAGAAAAACTAAATGGAGGCTTCTTTTAATTCATTGCTCATGACATTGTTGGTCCATCAAAACATTTTGTACAGTAGCAACACAGTTTAAAGATGATAAAAGTGCTGTGTGTTTATAGACCTCTTTTTAAGGAAAGAAGAAGAGTATTAAAAGAGAAATGGTAGAAAAGTTTCAGGCCACATACAGCCCTGACCTTCTCTTTGGGAGATCCCTGTATGTGCATGTGTTTGTGTGAGTGTGTGTGTTCATGGGGCCAGCCCTTTGTCAGGTTCTGATTGATGGTCTGACCACAGGCAGGATGATGACTCAGCAGTATGGACGTAGTGATTAATGTCTTAATTGTGAAAGCAGCACGACAAACCTAGATTTACTCCCCCCTTTACCCCTCCTTTCCTCACTTGCTCTCTCATTCTTTCTTTTTTTCCCTGTGTGCACCCCCACCTCCTCAATCTCACCCATGATTTGTGACTTTGCTTCAAGCAACAGCAGATAGACATTTAACATGGCGTAAGAGGAAAGAGCTGACATCTTGTGGGATACCTGGACCAGAATGTTAAATGAATTAACATTTTTAAGCTGTTTTATTCTACAAGTCATATTGTATTTTAGGCCCAGATCACTTCTGTCACTGGATATTCTTTAGCAGTTCAAAATTTTCTATCTGAAGATAAGTTTCCTCCAGCTTTTACAATCACTCTCAAAGGGCTCTACTAACCCCAAATCTGCACTTTCTCGGGTTCATCTGTAGCAGCAACCGGGATGCTCACAACTTGTTGTCTGCAAGTACACATTGTTTGCTGGCATTTCAAAATTCTACTGTTAGGCTATGTACTTGGTCAAACAGATGCTCCCTTATCACCTCACTACGAATATCCCTTCACTAGCTTCCTGTCACATTTAGGTCCCAGTTTAAAATTCTCACTGTGACTATAAAAAGTTATTTGTAGGTCAGATTTCTGCTACAATCTAAAAAACAATCTAAAATGACTGTTTGTTCACCTTTTTCTGCATTAACTGTTTGTTAAGTAATGCACTGTGTGACTGATCAGCAGTAAATTGCCACACTTCCTGCTTCTGGGGTGGAGATTACCTCAGGGATCGGCACTGAACCCCTTTTTTATGCATTGGCGATTAACAGGTTGACAGATGAGGTCATGCAGAGGTCTCCATTAAATATGATGTTTGCAGACGACATTGCATTCTTTTGTGTGAGCAGTGAGTACATGGGCAGAGCCTAGAGAGTTTGGAGGTATGCTCTGGATAGAAGAGGAATGAAAGTCACGAAAAGCAAGACACAACACAAGGCGTAAAAGTAAATATCTAAGGAGTAGAGTTAGTGAAGGTGGATGAACCACTGGGGTCAGCCATTCAAAGCAACGAATAGTGCAAATGAGAGGTGAAGAAGAAAGTGGAGGCAGGTAGGAGTGGGTGGAAACGAGCGTCAGGACAGAAGGATATCAGCAGAAAATGAAGGGGAAGCCTCAGGACGTTAATTTTGTTCATCTAGATATAGCGTTTTTAGGTGGAGAAGCCTTTTGTCTCATGCAAGTGATCTGTTCAGTTACGGAGGGACAAGGCTAACTGAAGAAGTCATTTGGATGAGTTTCAAAACATGGCTCCCACTGAAATGTAAAGTAACCCACCTTTAATCAGTGAAACATCAAGTTATGCAAATCTTTTTTTTTATTTGGAGTTCAATAATGACACAATACATGTATTACTTTAAATTCTGGTAGGACAAAGTGTTGCACAAAGCCACTCTCACCCTCCTACACACACACTCACAAACTCACACACACTACCTGTGTAACTACTACCACAGAAACAATCACAGATTTTAGAGACCTAAAGTGAAAGTAGAACATCTAGGAAAGAAAACCCAAATTAAAATCCATTTGACGGATTTGTTGCAGTGATGAAAGTTTAAAAATCCAACTTCGGAACAGAGCCTTTCTGAACAATACATCATGTGGCTCTTATCTATGGCTCAATAAGGACAAAAGATTGCCAGAAGTTAAATGTCACAGCTTGATGAAAGAGGGAAATTTGTAGGCAAGTCAATGGGGCTTGGATAGTATAGACAGGCCTGCACAGCTGGAAAGAAAAAAGTGAAGGTTTCTACATTATAGAGCATTGATTACAGTTTAAAAGATGGAAAAATACTTCAGAGCCTAACAAGCCAATTCCATATTTGCTATGATGACAAAGGTTTCGACTTGTGTCTAACAAGTGGGGTGAAGGATACTGATTTGTCTGTGAATGTTAAACAATATGAATATGCTTCAATGTTTCCAGAAAGATAATTGAAAGAAATACTTTCTGAAAATTGAAAAAGAGACAGACACATAGATGCTGGCTAGGTTGTCTGTGAAATAATAGGTGTCTGCTAACTTCTTGCATCAACACTGGATTAGAAGTTGAGGAGATTGAAACAGGAAACAAAGTGATAATGAAGTTTTTTTCCCCCAAAGTTTCCAACAAAATGTTTCACCTTTTCCAGCTGTTCCACCAACTCCCTCTATGCCATCTGGCCATCTCTACACAGATTCCCTGCACTAATATATCATTGAAATCCCAGTGAAAATCGACCCACTCATACACTTTGTCTCTAAACCTGTTGGCCCGAGTCAATGTGCGCCTTAGATAAAAGTTTAAAAATGTGTTTTCTTTTTGCTGATTGTGGATTTTTATTACATTATTGCCTGCTGTAGAGCTGAGGTGATTCATCCCTCCTTCTATTTATTCTAATACAGTCCTATTCTCTCACTCTCTCTCTGTTTTCCCACATGAAGGGCTCCAAGGTGTCATCTCGTTGGGCTGACCCGGACCATTTCGCCCAGCGACAGAGTTGCATGAACGCCTTTAGCCACTGGCTAGGTTTCATGCCCTTAGTGCACTCCCAGATGAGGTTGGACCCAGTGTTGTTCAGAGACCAGGTTTCCATCCTGAGGAAGAAGTACAGGGACATTGAGAGGTTGTGAACACACAAGGACACGACAAATCACAGTAGAGGCTGGAGAGCTGTGTGTGTGTCCTGAATGACTGTTTATGAGGCTATAAAGGAAAATTCACACATGCACTGGACATAAAAGTGATAAAACACTGAGGTATCTGCAAGACCTTTAAATGCAAATTTCTATGGGAAAAAAAAAGCTTCTGTACATGTGGTTGGTTACAGTGAGCAACTGTGCATAGCTGCCATCTGTGACAATACACATAATATGAATGCATGTAGACACATGCAACAAAGACTTGGACACATTCAAGCTGACCACGTGTACGTATGTGTTGCATGGTTTAAACAAGACAAGACTGTGTTTAAAAAAAAAAATCAAGTATGTCTACAGTGGAAGTTGACAAACGGCTAAAGAGATTCGAGGTTGTATTCATGAAGTCAGTAATTAAAGAAAAGAGTTTGTGTAGACAAAAAGGAACAAGCTGTTCTTTCTGGCCACATCACAGCTAATGGCCCCAAAACACCCAGAGACGATGGCAGTGCACCTCTTGTATATTACTGTAGATTTGCAGCAGCAGTTCCTGTCTGTATGAAGCCAATAAAAAATAAAATAAAGAGATGTTATGTTATAAGGCGAGAGGATTTGTCTCAACTCAGTTCAGTTCTTCCATTCATTTTAAGAAAATTGCATCTTTCTTTGACTACACACTCTCCTTGTTACTCTCCTTGCTGTTTTGCCTGCACATCTATAGCGAAGTAAACAATAACGAGAACATTTATTTTCAACAAGGAACTGACTAACTAATAAAGTATGGTTAATGCAATCAATAAAGAAATAAGAACATCAAGAAATGTCAACATCTGTCAAATGTTTAGTAGTGATGTATTAACTAGAGATGGCACGATACCACTTTTTTATGTCCGATACCGATTCCGATATCATAAATTTGGATATCTGCCGATACCGATATGAATCCGATATAGTGTTTTTTAATCAACAAAAC